GCTCGCGGCCGCAGTTGCATATCCCATGGAAGGCGGGCCCCCTCGGGGGCTCATGCGCCTGCGGGATTCCCTTTTTCCCACCCTCACCACCCTTGGGCCTCTCGGCTTTCGGGGGGGATCTTGTCGTGGGGATTGGGGTGCAGCGCAGGCGGCCAGGCTACGGAGTCGGGTCGGCGCGAGGGGTCTACCATGGGGTCGCCCTGCGCCGCGAGCCCGACCGTCCTGTCCGCCGCGCCAAAACGTTTGCGCCCTTTGCCGGCGCGGCGCTGCACCGAGGGAAGTGATCCACGGGATTGAATGTGCTTCCATTGCCAGAGCAAGCGGGGAGGCCGGACGTCATTGTCCCCTTTCGAAATTCTTCCCGTAGCTATGACTGTGAGGATGTCCCAGGCGAAACGCGACCCAGTATCGATGTATCCGGGGAAACTGGGCTGGCCTTAGCTCATGCGGAACATGCGTTTGGGGTTGCGTGGCGGCCGCGCGCAGTTACAGGCCAGGCCGCATCGTCAAGTCTAACGGGCACAGGGGCCAGCACAAGAATCGAGGGTGAATTCTTCATGGATAAACGCGCGCTCTTGCCGAGTGTGTACATTTGTACGACATTGCATGGCATCGCGTTGCAGTGCGTTGCATGTTGCCAACTGCATACCAAATCATAGCATAGCACAACAAACACATAATATCATGAAATAATGTAGATCGTCACATAGCATGTCATATCATAACGCCGCAAACAACACAGATCACCGCATGCACGCATCGGCTATCATGGCACGGCATACGTAACACATCATAGCGATGCATACACTCATATCATAGCACGTTGTAGCATGTCATAACATATCACACCATAGTATGTAACAGCCACAACATAGCATCGCCTAGCAGACGCGCCGTGCTACCACACCATCGCACAGCATTTCATGACATAGAATGCGTCGTACGTAACACAGCAACGCAATGCATTCTTATACCAAAGTAACGTAATTTAGCATGGCACATCATATCGTAGCTCACCGTATGGGGCCAGCGGAATGGCGGCGTAAGCCGAAATGAAACCTCATCGTCATGGAATGCACACATAGAGAAAGCTGTATGCAAGAAGCGGTCTGATGGCAAGGCCGCGTGCGTCTATGGCTACGTTCGCAAGCTTGCTTTTCGGGAGGGAACATGAATGCATGATGTCGCGCCGCCGCGGGGACCTCATCAACACGTTGCTGCCGAAAGGCGCTTCATCAGCGCCCAGGGACAACTCACCAATGAGTAGTAACGTGTCGATGGGTTTCCCCGTGGCGGCGCGTCATCGGTATTCATCTCCCTTCCCGAGCTTTGCAGGCGTCGCAACACGGCGGCTTCCATGCTTGCCGTCTCTGCGTCTGAAAAAGAACCAACTACCACCATCCTCCGATATCCACGCTGGCCGTGGCCAATCATGCGCGTTGGCATCAAGCGAGGGTGAGCCACGCTGCGCTCGCACCGCCAGCACCAGCCACCCTCCCGCCGCCACGCGGGGTCGGAGGTGGAGCCGACGTATGCCGCTCCACCTTCTCCCCCCCCACGTCGTGGCGGCAGGAGGTCGATGACCCGTTGCAGCAGGTCGCCTTGCGACAAGTCCAACAGAGGCTGTTGCGCCTGGATGCGCCCCGGATGGCGCGCGATGGCACGCGCCATGACGTTCATCGCATCTTCTCGCGCCGACTCCAGAAGAATGCGACGGCGCTCAACCGGCGACGGCGGCGGCGCCCAGCGCGCGACACGCGCCAGCCCATAGCCATTGCTGCTGGGCTCCGCCCCCGCCGTCGCCGCCGCCCTCCTGCTGCTCGCGTCTCTGCTCCGACTTCTGCTTCGAAAGCAGCGGTGCTCATCATCGGCGCCGCCGATTCCGAGCCCCGGCGCCGCCGCCGCCGATGGTGATGCCACCGGCCGTGGCCTTGCCGCCGATGCCCAGCTGCGGTGCCCAGCATCATCACCATCAGCACCATCATGATTGCCCCCGATTCTGAGCTGTGGCCCCGCCGTTGTTGCTGATGCCGAGATGCAGTGCTCACCAGTGCCGCCGATTCCGAACCGCGGCGCCGCCGCCGAGGATGATGCCGAGCTGCAGTGCCCATCGTCGCCGCCGATTCCAAGCCTCGGCGCCCCCGCTGCTGCAGTAGCGCTGCTGATGATTCCGAGCCGCCGAGGCGCCGCAGCCGACGCCGAGCCGCTGTGTCCATCGTCATCGGTACCATGCCGATGCCGAGCCACGGCGTCGCAGCCGATCCCAGCCGCCGATGCTGAGCCGCGGCGCCGCCGACGCCGAACCGCGTCGCCGCCGTCAGCATTCACGTCCGCGAACAGTGCCCTGAGCAGCTCATCGCGCAGCGGCGGGCTCGGAGGCCCCTGCACGAGGTCCTGCGCCAGCTCTGCGGGGCAACCCCAGCGCACCATGCTACCAACAAAGGCCAAACATGAACTTTGAATTTATGAATTTCCCTTGAGCCAAAACGGCTACGGATTACACGTATCTTCATGTTATGTTATCCGATTGCAGTTTTTTTTGTTTCCGAGCTCAGGCACCATGCGACAATACAATGCACGAGTCGCATGCAAACGTAAAGCAATGCGAGTCAACGCGCGCAAGCCGAAATCCAGCTTCCCAAACGCAATGCAACGTCAAGCAACGTAACAGGTGAACCACATATATTCAAAGCGGCGCAATGCAATGCACGACGTTCCAGCTGGGCGGGCGGAGGGGACGCGCGCGCGACACGTGTGCGCCAGGACTCGAATGTCATTTGCATTTCTCTGCGTGGCCACTTGAGCCCACCTCTTCGCCAAGGCTGGATTCGCCGCTCCAAGGCTGGATTCGCCCCGACATCCTGGTCAGACGGCGCTCCAGGAAAGGCCCTGGTGCCGATGATGATGCGCGGGCGTCCTTCTCCTCCTCCTCCTCCTCATCCCCCTCCTCCTCTTCCTCCGCATCCTGGTCGGAGTGCGCTCCAGGAGAGCTCCGCGTCCTGGTCCTCCTCCTCCTCCTCCTCCTCCTCCTCCTCCTCCTCCCCCCCCCCCTCCTCATCTTCCTTTTTTGTTCCTCCCCCCCCCTCCTGGCGGGGGGCGAGCGCAACAAATGATGTTTTCCGTTGCGCACGACGACGGCAACTCATTCTTCCCCGGGCAGAGGCACGGGATCAATCATGAACTAAGCTATCTGTCACCTCTACTACGGGCTCTGGCTGGCCAGTCGCTCCGTGCGGGCCGGGATCAGTGGGCCGCGCATCATCTGATGATTCCGACGCTGAAATCAAGCGTTGCCCGTCGTAAGATGGAATGAGCTTCGTCTTTTTCGCTGCCCTCGGGAGCGCGAGGAGGGAGAAGAGGAAGAAGCAGAGCACGACGACGATAAAGTAAGGGCGACGACGAAGGCACGGAGGAGGGTGAGGATGGGGGAAGAAGGAAGACGAGGGGGACTTGGAGGCGAAAGGGGCGTGATGAGCCTGTGCCCGCCAGCCAGGGGTGAAGGTGGTGCCTCGCTCGCCCTCGCTCGCCTGGCCGCCAGCGGTGCGTCCTCCACCCAGAAGCCATCCACGAAGTACATCAATGGTTTGTTACGGATGTTCTAGGGATGTTTGAAACGTGTTATCTCGTTCCTCATGTCCTCTTCTTCCTCCCCCTCGTCATTCTCATCTTCCTCCTCTTCGTCGTCGTCGTCCTCCTCCTCCTCCTCCTCATCGTCGTCCTCATGCGCCTTTTTCCTCTTCCCCATCATCATCGCCCTAAGCGTTCTCTTCTTGGGGGGCCCCCGGGTGGAAGGATAACGAGATTTGTTCTCCGTGGGGTCCTCTACGATCGTTCCACTGGGCAGGGCGCAACGCGGCTTGCAATGGTCCCGGCCGTCCGTGTACACTTCGCCGCAGTGGCGACACATCCGAGATTCATACCATTTCGGCGCACGTTGGCCGTGCTGATCTTCACGACGATCAGGGCCCGCCGCCGTTTCCAACGTGTCGGAGCTCGTAAAACTGCCAGCCTCACCCTCGGGGATTTTTAAGTACACTTCGTCCACGTACTCGCATACCCTACATTTGTGTATAAGGGGCCCAATGCGAATGATGTTAATGGTTGACATTATGTTTGCACAGCGCATAGTAAGAGGTGATGTGTGTCACCAGATGCCCGAGCCAAGCAAGCTGCGCCGATGCACCGGTGATGATGGGTACCCGAGCGTACATTGAAACACAGATTGCAAGCACTCATTAAGATCTACTCTGCTTTCTTCGCAATGGAACTCGCTGGCGGGCGCGGCGTCGAGCCGGGGTCGCAGGAGTAGAGTCGCGACTAAGTGGTCGGAGGAGGAGGAGGAGCGAGGTGGATAGCGGAGTAGAGGAGGAGACGAGGAGGAAGGAGTAAGTAGGCAGGAGGAGTAGGAGGAGGACGACGAGGACGAAGAGGAGGAGGAGGGCGACCGAGGAGGGGCGAGTCACGCCACCAAACAATTGAGGAGTATCGCAGCTCGTTCCCATGACCCTCCCACTCCTCCTTCTCTCCCCGCCCGTCCCCCCCTCTATCTACTCCTGGCGGTCGCAGCCTGGCGGCCCCTTCTGGGGCACGGCGGCATTCGAGCTCGAGCTTGCGCAAACATCCGATGCACCGGGCACGGCGGAGCAGAAGGATGACGAGAAGGATAAGTAAGAGAGAATGATCAGTTGGAGTAGCAGTGGCAGGATGTCAAGCATAGGTTCTCCTCCTCATCCTCATCCTCCTCGTCCTCCTCTACCCCTCTCCTCCACGTCCTCATCTTCCTCATCCTCCTATTCTTGATTGCGCTAGCTCTGCCGCCAGACCTGGCCACCTTGAAACGAAAGGCCGTCAGGGCAAAGCCGCCGCCATCGTGAAACCAGATCATTCCGCATTGGTGAAAACCACCAGAACCAATGCCCGATCATCATGAAACAACGACGGCGGCAGTCGCCCCCAGCCTCGCCCTGCTGACGGCGAAAATCAACGCCAGGACTGAAAACTCAAGCCTCACCCATATCATCATCGAGCTCGTCGATGCCATCCTCGTCCATCTCCTCATCCGCGTTCGCCTCCTTCTTCTGGCGCTTGCCGCCCTTGGAGCCGCCCGCCGCGGCGTCGGCCTTGCCCTTGGACAGGGGCGCGATCCTTGCGAGCAACGCTTTCTTGGCGTCATCGGAACCCCCACCGGACTGACCACCAGCTGCAGCCTGCTTGGGATCTTCTTTCTGGCCATTCTGAGCTGTCTCGCGCTTGCGCTTGCCAGCAGAGGTCTTCTTGTTCGTCTCATCTGCTCCAGCTTTCTCGACGGGGCTGTCCTTCAAGAGCTCGGCGAACGCTGGCTGGTAAAGCTTGTCGCCCTCGACCTGGAACATCTTCAGCACGGTCTTGTCGATGTGCATCAAGAGCTGATCGCGATGGGCAGTGTTGAAGGCCACCCCGACGTAAGGAATGCGGGCGCGGATGGCTGCCAGAGCCCTCGCCCCATTTGCAGGGGTCAGGTCCACCGCCGCTTGACGCCGTGGCAGTGCAAGATCTCTTCCCACAACTTTGTCGGCGTAGCGTGAAAGAAAACAGGCTCGCTCTCCTTCTTCAAGGAGCGAATGAAGGCGATCTCCTTCTCCGATTCCTTCTTCTCGTCGGTGGTAGAGTCAGGGGCGTAGGTCGAGCCCCCTGCGAGAACCACGTTGGTCTTTGTGATCACAGTCTTCTTGATGGCCTGGGGAAGGCACCACGTGTCGGAGGAGTCGAAAGGTGCCCATGCCACGGGCCCCACGAACTCGCCGTTGGATGTTCCTTCGAAGTGGATGCGCGGCTTGTCTGGGAGCGTCAGCGAGCTGCTGGTGATGAGGAACATCCACTCCACCTGTAGAGCACCGCTTGTGTTCCGGCAGATCTTGAGCCTCTCCCGGATGCTGGCCTCGGAGTACATCACGCACAGCACTTTCTTGCATTTCTGAAGGGCCTTCTGGTTCGCGTCGCACAGACCACTCAGCAGCGCCATCTCGTTACCTGGACGGCGGACTAATTGCTAGTCCTCACTCCCCTTATCAGATCGTGAGATCTAGCCCCTCCTCCACCCGCATCCTCCTCCTCCTTCTCCCCCTCCTCCTCCCATTCCTTTTCCTCATCATTCTCTGTCAGAGGACAAATACTTCATGCATGTGTGTGTATCGCTGTATGTGTATATTGACGTACATATGTGTATATATACGAGTTGTACATGCAGGTGTGTGGAGATATGTGTATGTATCGATAGGTCGATATATAACATATATGTGTTAGATCTTGCTTGTATACAGTTGTATGTACATGTACTTGTAGGTGTGAGTGTATACATATATATACATGTGCACGCATATGTACTGTAGATCTAGATGTGTTCGCTCATGTATGTGCAAATGGTTCTGTCTATGCGTTTGTGTATGCATATGCATGTGCTTGTGCACGTGTACTTTATACGTGTATCATGTGCCCATGTGCACGTATGTATGCATTGCATCGCTATCTTGCATTGCTACCCCTCTGTGACCGTGCTTGCCACCGTCTGGCAGGATGTAGAGGTCGCCGTCTGCGATCGCATCGGGCTCCTTCAGGTTGAGCGCGACCTTGAGCAACCGCTTGCAGTGTTCAGAGCGAAAGTAGACCTGCCTCAGATGGGGCCGATGGGAGCATTCGCCCGACACTTTCGAGTCGTATACGATGGCAACGTAGGATGACTGAGCAGGGTTCTCGACGTTCTTGTAGCCCTTGATCCTCCCAGCCTCCGTGTTCTTGAGCGCCTGGATGAGATCGCATCCCTTCGTCATGTCGGGGGCGAACTCCACGCGGGACCGCACCAGCTCCGCGACCTTCCTCTTGAAGAGGTTCAACTTCTGCATCTCGTCAGCACTTTTGGCAGACACGTCGATCACGAGATTCCCCGGCGAGACCAGCTGAATATGTTCCGGGTTGGTCAGCGAAGTAGTGTCACCGGTCTCATCATCAGGTTTCACTTCCACTTCGTTGGCAGGCTGTTTCTCCTTCGGCGGCTTCGTCCCGACCTCCAAATGCGCCATTTCCTTGATGTGTGTCATGTGCTCATCCACGCTGCTGAGCTCGAAAAACTCGCCAGCGCCCTTCCTGTGCATGACGCACTGCGCGACGGCGGGTTGCCAACTCATAGTTGCTGAACCGAATATGGCGTCCTTCAGGCGAGGTAAATCAAATAGTTAAGTACTTTACCAGTCAGCGTTCAGCCTACTAATCTATACCCTGCCCCTGCTATATAGCAGCGTCACCTTGGGAAAATATCGTGCCGAACCAGATCGCCCTTCAGAAACAGCACGTTCAGAAATTGACGAATCTTTACAAAAGGGAAAGGCGGAATACAAACCTGATGCTAGTGGTGCACAGACAACGTGGACTCAATCTCCGAGCTACTGATTAGTTATTAGCGACAACATCAAAGTATCTATCCAGAGCCCTCTGAAACATCAATCCAGAAAACCTCTGAAACATCAATCCAGACAGTTTCTGGAACATCAGCCCAGAAAGCCCCGAAAGCATGCGAAGCCCGAAAACGCACAACACGATACTGACCCAGCATTTGTTTGACCCCAGGGTATCCTCGATGAAGGCAAGGTATTCCACCGCGCTCGGCGGCCACCCCGCCTTCCAGGTGATGTTAGCGCGTTCGTCTGGGCACCCGTTGAATTCGCGGCAGAGCAAGTGGCCGGCGCACACGACCCTGAATTTGGTTTTCACCTCCTCCGTCCACTGGGGAAAATCGGCCAATGTCTCCATGAACAGATCCCTCAGCTTCTTTTTGAAAATGGCGATGTCAACAACGCTCTTGCCGGCTAGCGCGCCCTTGCCTTCGATGGATCTCAGGGACAGGCCGCTGTCTGTCATGAAACCATACTTCCAGGCATCATGGAGCGCATGGAAAACCCACGAAAGCTCGTCACCCTTGGCCCGCCGGCTGATTTTGTCCAACTTGGTGAGGTAGTCAAAGGGGTTGCGGCTGCCATATTCTGAACCGCACATGAGCAGGAGCTTCGAGATCGACTGAATGCCGAAACAGGTTTTGTGGACCTTGAGCGCCATCTCAATGAACGTGTCGGAGATCACCTCGCTGTACGATCCCAGCTTCACCTTCTTGTACTCCTCCTGGAGCTGCAGCGTGGTGAGGGTGTTCTTCGAAAGGTCCTCCTTGCGTTTCTTGTAGTTCACGATTTCGTAGAGGCGCTGCACGGCGCTGCGACGCATCGCCTCGAAGTCTGTCCCGAAATCTTCTCTCTCTTGCACTGCCTGCCAGTGCAGGGCGTCATCAGTCGACAGATCCACGGAGCATGCGCTGACTGACAGAGCGCACTGCCTGGGGGAAACCACCGGGGAGATAACATCAAACAAACGTCTGAACACTCATCTTAGAATAGCTTGGCAGACCGTGCAATGCTTGATGTATGATTCCACTGCTGACTTATGTATATGCATCAACGTTAAAATCTACATCCGAACATCCACACACGGACGTAACAACTATATAGTATGGCACTGCTCTGATATGTTTGGATGGTTGGTGTTGCGTGCGCGTGCGTTGCACACCCCCCTGGGTGGGGAGGCGACGACCAGGTGACTTCGGAAACCTAAATGCCTCCACCTCTTGAGCACGAAGTCGTCCTTACCAGCCCGAATGTCCCGCGCGATCGCCTCGACGAAGGCGAAGCGCTTCTCTTCTGGGGAGGGGGGCTTCAGACTATGCGACGCCATCAAGCTCGGAACGTCGTCGCTATCCTTGGCCACGCCAATGGTCACGGAGCCCATGAAGAATGCAGGCTGATCATAGTAGTGCTCCGTCAGGGATGACACCGCCTTCTTGCGAATCGGAATCCCTGGTGTAGCGCTGTACGTAACATCCATGGCGAAGAAATTGATGCCACAGGTGACCCGCCCCGTAGTCTTGAAGGTGTCCGTGAAAGTCTCGGCGTCGAAGGGCGCGATCTGGCCCCAGTTCATTGGGTCGTCATCATTGGCGTCGTCGTCCCCAGCGACCTTCAATGACAGGGGCGCCATGTCTCTAATTCCTGAGAAGACGGGGTTACTCTCGATGAGCTCCAGCGACGCATTGACGGTCGCGTAGATCTCGGCGTTGACAGCGAGCTCCTCCTTCGAGAGCGGCGCGAGCTTCCCGACTCTGGCGACGTTGTTCGACCCGGTCGACTCGCCGACAACCTCCCCCTCAGGGGCCGCCTTCTTCTTCGCTGCGGCCTTGGGCTGCTTCTTGGGTGCCATGATGTCTCCGCAGCGAGTCCGCGTAGTAGTAGTTGCAGTGGCAGTGAGTGGGCGCAGATAGCCAGCCGACCCTGCTGGCTGAGATGAGTCTGGCAGTGAAATCTTAAGCCAAAACGGCTCAGTATGTATGGATTGTTCTAGTATGTGTGCCACCTGACAATATGAACAGTCTCCCAAGCAGTGCTTGCACTTAGAGATCATATTAGAGATCTTGTTTCGGCCCCAAGGAACCGGGCGCGTCGGCCCAGATTTCGCCATGCGAGCGCCCTTCAGGTGCAACCTGTGGCGCAACAAATTAATTGAGTGGGTCGGCCGAAGAGTAGCCACGCGGGCGTTCATGGCGCGACCGATTGGGCGGATCGGACAAGGTTTCGCTACATGTGCGCTTTTTGCTTTGGAATGCGGCGTGCACATGATAAGCCGGAATAAGATGACTCACTGTTTGAGGTCCACGTTTGCCAGCATGTCTTCAGAGAGCGCGCAGCCCGTCTATCTAGCAAGGAGGGTTGTGGGATTGGCCGCCGGGGGTGAGGGCGTCACTATGCTAAATTGATTTGCGCGCGTGGATGGTTTTGATCCCCCATGTGATCATTTTTTGTTGCCGTGGGCCAAACGTATTTCCACACGTTGTACTAGCGCGCAGAACCAGACAGCACATGCATGGGATGATGCGCGGGCGGAGCAGAGGAGGGGGCGAGGAGGCGTGCATGGAGGGGGCCGAGAGGGAGAGAGAAGGGGGGAAGAATGATGGGAGCGACCGGCGCTCTTCAATAATACACTGCTTCGCAGACCGCACGAGCATTCAATTCTAGGCCCAGGGGTCCTCCAAGAGCGGCAGGCACTTCACATGCACGACTGAGCGAAGCAACTGCAAGGCAACGCGCGTGGCCACCGTCACAGTATAAGCATTGCCGATCATTTGCCTATAGGCCCGCTCTGAGCAGAGGCCCGTCCAGTCGATGCGACCAGGCTCCATGCCTTGGAGCATTTCGATCTCCTCTAAGTGAAGCCACCTGCACTTCTTAAACACCCAATGCCCTGCCTCGCCAGCCCGATTGCGAGTGAGGCACGGGACTATCCCACACATGAGCTTGCTAGATGCCCGGCCGCTCTGAATATCACCAACCCAGACATCACGCTGATAGGGGTCTGTTTGGTTGATCTGGGCAAGCATGGCATCTCTCTTACCAATCTGCCAAGGGGCCAACTTATCGTTGCCAGATCGGGCAAGGAGGATGCTGCCGAGGGTCTGCATTGGAATCGGGTTAGGCCAAGTAAGATCACGTCTCATGGCGCTCTTGAGAGCGCCGATAATGTCCGCTGGCTGAGCGCCAAAGGCGTCAGGCCATTTCACTGTCGCGGGGTTCCCGCCCATCCCCTCTCCAGGGGTCAGTGACATTATTAGCATCACTAGCCAGTTTGTTGGTTGAAAGGGGGTCGCATGAGCGAGTGCCTGAGCGGGCATTCTCATTCATCAACGCAAGAACCTTTCGGACAGACCACCCGCCAACCAGCCCGCTAATTAACCAACCAGCCGACCGACCGATAAGCCAGCCACCCAACCAGGAACCATGCCAACCAGCCAACATCCAACCAGCCATTTGGCATCAAACTTACTTGCCAGCAATCCAAGGACGAACCAACCGATGAGCCAGCCAGAACGTCAGGGAGGGGGTCTGGCGGCAGAGGGCAACGCCCCAGCATAGACTCTCGGTCGGGACTGAGGGAGTCCACCGTGCAGCTTCGTGTCCAAGGTTGTGTGTAGGATCTTGTACTCGCTCTGGCCGCTTGCGGTCTTGACGTCACTGATCAGCGCGATGATCGCATCCATGTCGCGCTTGTGCGAACGAGCCAAACCCGACACGTTCTCCAACATAAACAACATAGGTTTACGTTGTCGGATGTACTCTATGGTTTCAGCACAAGCGTCTCCACGATTGTGCTTATCTGCGAAGAGGCCTCCTGGGGGGGGCGGTCGGTTCGATTCAGGTTCGCCATCAGCGCAGCGGGAGGGATGAGAACGAACGGAGAGGGGGGAGTAGAAGTATGAAGACAAGGGAGAGAGAGGCGGGGGATGATGGGTTGAGGCGAGCGAGAAAGGAGGATGGGGAGGAAGGAGCCAGAGAGAGGGAGTTGCGGGCAGGATGCGATGAGGAGAAGGAGGACGAGACTGACTGGAGGAGCACGGTGATCATGAGCAGAGGGGTAGCAAGGTGGGAGGGAGAAGAAATGGGTTGAGCAGGATACGTAAATTGGATTATGAGGATGAGGCGGCGGGAGGGTGGGGGCATACGTGAATCTCAACCCTGGGAACGCCCCCAACTATTTTGACCACGTTGACCCTTGGGAACAACAACAGGGAGGGCATGCATCTCATGGGTTTTAGCGTCCCAAGTTGTTAGCCCCCACCCTCCGCCCCCCCCCTCAGCCGAGAACGGTTGGCACGGGAACCCCGCGTTGTAGAAGTGCACCTGGGGGGCGTCCGTGGCACTCCGCTCGCAGATGTCCCCGAACAGGGCCCCGGGCGCGAAGTTCTTGGCGAGCACAAATCGGGTCTTCTCGTCTTTCTCAGAGGCGAAAGCGGCAACAACATGGCGAGCCAAACGACTGCGTTCAAGCCCTTGCTCGATCGAACAAAGACCAGCACAGTCCGTCCCTATGATGAGCGGGTTCTCTGAGTTGATCATCAAACCAGCCCAATCCCGCGGAATAGGGGTTATATTGAGGGCGAGGGTCGCGTTGAAGATATCCTTATTCAGAATGATGACAGTCGGGATCTTATTCTTGGCGGGGCGGCGCTTCTGGACCTGTCGTTTGATGACGGGTGTCGTAGGCATTGCAGATGGTGCCCCATCGGGCCGTTTTTTCTGGGGGGGGGGACATGCTTGGACGCGGCTGGTTTCCGCCGCACGGTCTTGAAATAAGGCATAGTAGACGCAAAAAAATCATCCATCATACACCCAAAAATCTTGGGTTGATTGTCTGTCTGAGCCCCATGGCTATGTATAGGCACGGACCAGCTATAAACGTGATGTATTTATACTGTATGTGCGTCACATTACATGGTCGCGTCGCCGGGCCCCATCTCGGTCAGCCCCTCATCCTCGAAGGGAGGAGGAGAGGAGATAGGAAGGATAATACTACGGGGGGAGGGAGGGGGGCGGGTGCGCCAGAAGAAGGAGGATGAGAGGAAGGAGGGAGGGCGGATGACGAGAAGGAGGAGGAGGAGGAGAAAGAAGAAGGAGGAGGAGGAGGAGGAGGAGGAGGAGGAGGGAGGAGTGATGAGTAAGCGAAGAGGGTGGAGGATGAATGGGTGGAGGGAAGAACGAAGAAGGAGGGAGGAGCATTATGATGGTATCGTTCGGCTTGATTGGCAGGCTTCGCATCTCTGTCTATCCTAGGTAGGGTGCGCCAGGTGTCATGCATGAACTATCTGCATACCCTGCATGTCTTAAGTCCGCTGCCTCGCTGAGTTTGAGACGCAGGAGACTGGCGAGCCAGAGAGCGCGCGCGATTTCTCGCTCGCCAATCCGGAGCGCTCCAGGCTGGCGAGAGCACTACCCGGAGAGTGTAAGTAACTCTGGCGAGCCAGATCGCGCGCGCGATTTCTCGCTCGCCAGAGTTACTTACGCTCAGCGCCAGCCCGCTCGCCAGTCCGGAGCGCTCCAGACTGGCGAGCCAGAAAGCGCGCGCGATTTCTCGCTCGCCAGCCTCCTGGGCTCCAAGCTCGACGAGGCTAAGGACTTAACGTATGCAAGTTCGCGTCGCGCCTCGATGGCTGCTGCATCGAGATTCCAGTAAGTGCTGCTGGACCTCATCCTGAACCATGGGCGCCCATTCTCCTCCTTCTCCTCCTTTCTCCTCCTCTGCCAACCCAGAGACGCCCCCTGTTTTCTGACAGGCGTATCGCGTAGATCAACGGTTTGGCCTTAATAACCTCCTCCGACGACATGGCGATGCGCTTGCAGACGTGGGCCCCAAACAAACAGCCAGTTATTATTACCACGCAGTCGGAACGCAGAATAGCCATTGACGGGCATCAGAAAAGGCCCCTTTCAAAATCAAAAGGCAAGAAGAGGAGGAGCTGATCATTGCTGGTGGTTGGGGCCCTCTCGCTAGGCGGACTGATCTGTCGAGTGGTGAGCGGTGGCAGTCGCACCTCTTTCACCCGGCGGCGGGCAAGCTTGTGCGCCACAGGTTGCGCCATAGATTGCGCCGTAGGATGCGCCCATAGGTTGAGCAATGGGGGCGCCCGCGCAGTGAAACTTCGGCCGACCCGCCAAAGTTGGCGCGCCAGAAGTTGCGCCATAATCATTATTTGGGGGATAGGTTGCGCCATTGGTTGCGCGCCACCATAGGCCGTGCCATAATACTGGCGCCATAAGTTGCGCCATGGGGGCGCTCACGTATGCGACGAAACCTCGGCCGACCCACCCAAGTCCTTCGAGCCCGAACGAAAAAAAAACCCTAAGTAGTGTTACCACTACTGTGAAGGAATCAATGAATAATTTGACCTGGTGACACCTGGGCCCCCAGACCCAGAATCAAATAGGGAGAGATCGTCTCCGCTGAGCACGCGTTGTTCTCAGCGCAGGCGCGAGCCCCGATCGCCGCGCCAGTCAGTCAGCAAGGAGAAATGGCGCAGACCGCCAGACAGACAGAAGTGAGCACAGAAGAGGAGGAGGAGGCGGTGGATGTTGAGGGGCGATGATGAATGGGGGAGCGGGGATGGAGGAGGGAGGCTCTGAGGAAGGAGGAGGGACTAGGAGGGGGGAGGGGGAAGCGGGGAGGAAAGAGGAGGGAGGAGGGGGAGTGGCGATGGATGGAATGGGCGGTCGCCTATCGCGCCGACTGCCCCGCCGATGGCGCGCTGCACATCAGGTGGCCGACGTTGCCACTATAAATAATCACCACAGAAACAACTAGAGCACTCGGGCCACAGCAATGACCACAGAAATCAGATACACAATAATAATGCAGGCCACGTCGCCAACAATGGG